TCTGGCTAGTGCGCTACAATACCAAGGAAGGTACGATGAATCGGAGGCAATGAATCGGCGTACACTGGAGGGGCGTGAGAAGATTCTTGGACCAGACCACCCAAGCACCCTAACAAGTACCAACAACTTGGCTCTTGTGCTACGATCCCAAGGAAAGTACAAGGAATCCGAGGCGATGCACCGGCGTACACACGAGGGGTATGAGAAGATTCTTGGACAAGATCACCCAGACACCTTAATAAGTGTTAGCAATCTCGCCACCGTGCTTCAGAGCCAAGGGAAGTACAAGGAATCAGAGACAATACATCGGCATGCACTAGAGCAGCGCAAGAAGATTCTTGGACCAGACCATCCCAAAACCCAATTAAGTGCCAACAACCTGGCTAGGGTGCTGCGGCTCCAAGGAGATTCTGACAATTCTGAGACCGTCGAGCGGCGTACCGGACAGACACTGCCAGAAAACCGAGAGGATCAGCGGCCACAACTTGCTCGCCGTTTTCTTTTTGCACTTTATTTTGTCTTACTCTTTTTTTTCTTTTTCTTTTAGCCGTACTCTAGTATGTTAGTTCGCGTTTGATAGGAAACGATGTGGTACGGTATGTCCCCTCACCCAATAATCTCCTTCTAGTAACCCCTCTACCACCCAGAATCATTACAAGTCACTTGTTTGTTATTATTCACTCAGCTATCTACCTCCCTTGCCCCCCTGCTGGTAGCCGCCCCGACTCGTTTCCTTGTGGACCCTGTGCAACCCAACATTCTAACAAATTTAAAGAAACTCTGATACACCTATCGCACCCTAATTTCATCTCCTCTGCAGGGTTGGACGGACTATGAATCTCAGTCCGGACACGTTCGTATGATACCAATGGCGGTATCATACGATGTGGCCAGGGACAATGAGTTGTCCAAAAGATGGGTGTCAAATCACTTGTCCATCACAACCAGATAACTCAGTGCTAACCCGCGCTTCAGCATGCGAGTTTGTAAGTTCGTCACTATTCATATTACCCCTCCCTGTTTTGCGAGATGGAGGATCCACTCACCGGGAAATACATTGTGGCAGATAATCATCTTGTTGAAAAGATACGGAAGATACGGAAGATAAGGAGGGGAAGAAAGGATAGAAGTGTGGAAGTGGAAGGTTTGCTTGGAGAAGGGAAGATGTTTATGGAAGGCGAGCAAAGTAGAGTGGGGAAGACAAGAGATGAGATGGGATAGGATGGGATGGGGCGAGGACGAGAAAAGCATTAATGTGGGGCTTCTCCGATTTCTTCTCATAAGATTGTTGTTTGCCCATAAGTGACACGAGGAGGCGCGAGGGAGTAGTGGCAGGTCAGAAATCGGAATCTCACATCATACCATTCCTGGATGGAACTGTCCTACTATGATAGTATGTATAAAAAAAAAGTGCATGGACAGTACGAAGTAAATAAATAATATACCATTCTAAGGGGTAATGGAAATACTACCTAGTAGCATACCAGAATTTAAACACGATGGAAAAAACTCAGTATTATAGCCTGTTCAATTCTCGTAATCCAAACCCTATCAAGATCTTACCGTTAAGTAAATTTACTATGGAAGAAATAGCTTCAAAAAACATAGGCAAGAATAAAAAAACATCCCGAAAATACCCCTGAAACTGCTTTAAACATAGTCTGAAATGTATCATAATTCCAGATAAAAGTCTTGAAAATCTTATGGAAAGCATACCACGCTATAATTCGCTACAAGCAGTTTTACATACTAAATAGCCTGAGGAACCCGTGAAATATTAGTTCAATGTCATATATCCGGCCTGATAAGCCCAAGAATACTCTCTTTCTAGATGGCAATTGCAATCACCAATATCATGCATTTATCCTAAGATGACTTCAGCCCACGCATACCTGCAACAGCTATATTAACAACCGCACATAATTTTTTTCAAACAACCAATGACACTCATGAAATATCACTCGATACCCGCATTCAGTCCGCCACATCTCGTATCGGAAATGCACAGAACCTTTGTCAACCACCCCTCTTACACCCAATCATCGATTCCCGCTCGAGAAGCGTAAGAGGATATCCACCAGCCAGCAGGAGATGCAGCCCCCTCCGCTGGTCTAGCCTACCACTCCCACATCTTCCAGGCCAGATACGGTACAAACCCCAACGATGCCGAAGGGGTACTTGCAGTGCAGACCGCTACCGGTGAATGGGGATAGGGAGAGTTTTCCAGTGCCAACGACAGACAGATACACCATTTTGCACTTCTTGAAGAATGCTCCAGCAGTTAAGTCATGGGGATCGCTGACCGTCGATTACAGTACAGTACAGTACAGGATATTTAAGAGTTTCCTCAGGGCGAGTGAATACTCTCTCATCTCTCAACCTTTCCCAGCATGCAGGATAACATGGAGGAGAAAAAAATTGTGCAGGGAGATCTACAGAGGGCCGGGGCAACACCCCCCATCCCAGCACGGGGGGGATTCAGATTGCCAAATCAGATTTTTGAGATCTAGGGTTTATGATAAGTACAAATACCCCAGGTAACACTTTGTAGAGTAAAGTACAGTACAGTACATTCCGCCGTTCCGAATCATGACCAGGAACGTCATGCAGGATAGTTAGAGGGTATAGAGAAGACGGAGGTGGTACCGGTACTTACAGTACTTTACAAAACAGAAGTCAACAAGTTAGTTATCACGATGCTCCCCCAATGAGCTAACTTAGCCCACGACGCCGTGCTCAGTTAGGAAGTCTACTCTTCCCATCACCAACTCAGTATCATATAGTACGAGTGTAAGAACTATACTGCTGTGCAAACCTCGCACCAAAAACCACGATAGGTTGCCATTTTGCGTCAAATTACATAACTTCAAGGGCACTGTTAACTCATCCTGTAATAAGCCAGATAGATAGAATCGATCAAAGTTGAATTATGTGCTTTGCAACTTCTTCGCCTATTCCAGTGGAGAAAAAAAAAGAATAAAAATTGTGATTTTTATCACCCTTTGTGATTGTTAACAGCTAAAGATATATTCACAAGATGTTGCGATGTATAATACTATTTTCACAGAAAACCGGTAATATTCAAGGTAACATCTTCGGTCCATACCCAATGTTTCGGACATTCCCCTTCCAAGGTCTATTAGTAAAGCTCAATTATTACCATTTTTCCCAACCAATCCCATATGATCCCAAGAAATTCCTCGAATCCTTCACCCTTCTCTCCCCCAAAGCAATCAAGGTGAGATTCCCAGATATAATATAAACCTGCTCATTCGTGATGTAAAATACCAACCCATCATATGATACCCATAACCTCTAGTGCCAGTGTCGCACAATATACAGAACGTGAAAAGAAAAAACCCCCATTCAATGTGAACCGATCCCAGATACACCCCCGATATTCCAAACTTTCACTACGATCCATTTCGACAGAATGGTGGGGGAAAAAGGGAAGGCTATCATACCATCCCTTCATTCGTGCCCAACACCACTCACCTTTTTCCACGCTGTGATGTGCCGGACCAACTTATCACTCTCATCTCTTCAAACACCGCCCATTAAAGGAATAGACCCACTCACAGAACGATGTTTTACCAACTAGTCGATGAACAAGCCCGACCCCCCCCCCCAAGCTGATGATAAACCACCGTCCCTACCAGTACAGCACAGCACAGTACCTTTCAATCAGGAGACGGAACCAGAAAACCATTTCCCGAAAACTGGTCAAGGGATACCCTTAATATCGCGACGTTCATGAACACGACGAGCGCAGCTCTAAGACCCCCCCCCTCTGGAGAATTTATATCTTCCAGGAAGCCCTCCAGTCATCTCGACAATGTCATAAATATCTGTTGCTGATTTGCTCTTCTTCCGCCCCACCCCTCCACCGCCCCTTACCTTTCCTTCTCTCAACCTGGCTGGCTGGCTGGCCAAGATTCTTGCTACCACAGAAGGCATGATAGGGGTTAGTCAGAATGCGATGGGGAGATCAAAATATGGGACTATCGAACGATCAGATCATGCTTTTTGATAAGCGCACAGTACTGTACATATCAGAAGATACGATATAATACATCGACGGTGAAAACCCCACTGGAACCATCGCCGACAGTTCCACTATTACAATACTACCATGCTAAAAAAACACAAGAACTTCAGAGGAGGTGTGTTTAACCCCCGAGCATGACAAATCAGGAATAATAACACCTCCGATTCGAGAGCTCATCACCGGTATCATGTAATAAAGTCACTATACGATGTACCCTCAAACCAACATATGATACCCAAGATGAGGAGGGAGGGGGGGAAAAAGGGAAAAAATAAAGTTCCTGCTATCGGTTAAGAATCATCGCCATTTGTCCTTGTATTATTATTTTTACTTCACACGATACAGTAAAGTAGGTTCGTGGGTTGGTTTCGAGCGGAAGAATTATGGTGCAAGGACGGGGATGGCGCAGAAGGAGCGGATGCCGAGATTCTCCGCACACAAATCAGAGGTGAGCCACGGTATTATGCTTGTCGCTGTGTATACTCGAGTATGCCCTCCGGCGCCCATTTACGAACCATACACGATACCACTCGGCTACTATATAAAAGGAGAAAGGCGTGCCTTTCTAGCGCAGCGTGGCCTGAGAGTACAACAATACGCCCCCGGATTTCATTCTCCGCCCGACTCTCCGCCACCCAAAAAAATAAAATATCGCACCCGCTAAAGTCCAAATCAACCAAACAACCGATCGAGAATTTGAGACCGAGTGACACACCGCGACTCCATCAAACTTGACTCAAAACTCTCCATTCCCATTCGATTCCAAAAATATTCCAAGTCACTTACTCAATCGGTTCAAGAAAAAATAGTATATCTACAAGAAAGAAAGGAAGGAACAGAGAGTGTGAACCCCAACGCATGTCACCATACAATAAGTCAGCAAGCAAAAACGCAAAGCCAAAAAAGAAAGAAAATATAACCACCTCTAACCCCGTTGCATTACGCTATGGAAAAAATGGGAAAAGTGAGAAGAGAACAAGGACTTTTCGATGAAGAGGGAGAACAAAAGGAAAACTAAATCCCACACGAAGCAGTGGAGATTGTACCAAAGGCAGTGATAGAGAAAGCCAAGGATAAAGCCAAATTGAGTAAGTCGGGAAAAATGGCGAGAATAATGGGATAAGGTTTCCTTTCCTCCCTCACTTCTCCAGACAGATTTATGAGCCCGACAGATAAAAAGGGAGAAAGAGTATGAGCAAAGCAAGAGAATAAAAGAACATAAAGCAAGAAAGGCGCAAAAAAGGAGCAAGTAGGGAAAACGTCATTACACAGAATGAAGGACTGGGAAGGAGAATGGAAAGTAGAGAAATAAAACATGAAGCCTAATACACTTCATTCCTCTTCAGCTTCCTCCCAAACGAGAGCTTAAACCTCGGAGGACCTCCTTCCTCCTTATGTATCGACTGAGAAGCATCCGGATGCATGGACTGCGGAGGCGGGGTGTACCTTAGGAAGTCCACCAAGCTGTGTGTGTCATCTCGCTCTACTCGGGCACCCCTAGCTTGATACTGGGTCCTTACTTGCGCGCCACCGTTGCCCATCACCCGGTTTTCTCTAAGATTGGAAGTTGGCCGGTAGGAGTCATGGCGCATGAGCGACAACGGCGACGGTGGCGGTGCATTGCTTGGGTGGCGCGGTGACATGTGGTCTGTGTCTGAGAGCAATGGGACGTGTTTTCCCGGTCCATCTGGTAGAGCGAGGAGCTGGGGGGTCATGGGGATGACCCTGTCTGAGTTTGAAGCGATGGAGTTCTTGCGGATTGATGAGCGGCCGAGCCGACCCATCAAGCTGACTGAACTATTCTTCTTTTGCACCATCTTGTCCTTGGGGTCCTCCGGGGGAGTTGGAGGTTGGGGTGGTGGCGGAACATTTCTCAGGAAGTCAATCAAACTCTCTTCTTCTTTCCTCCTAGGAATCACCGATTCGAGCCCATCTAGATCCAGGTCATCATCTAGCTCATCGACCTCGATCGTGTACGAGTCCCTAACCCTAGTCTGCCTTCGCCGTGGTGGCATACTTCCGTAATCGTGAGCTTTCTCAGAGTTGCTCCGAAGAAGAGCAGTAGAGGAGGAAAAGGGAGACTGATATGAATCCTCGTGCGCGGCGTTCACTACAAACTCAGGGCCATTGGCAATTGAATCCGTCGCCCCAGTTCGTTCAGGATCTCGAGTGGCGTCGAATTGAGCCGAATCCATCGTGTTGCGGAAAGGAGCAACACTACGGGATATGCGTCGTTGGACGGTTTGTTCCCCGTCAGCAGGTGGCGTTGTGTTGCGGAAGAAGTCAGCCAATGCTGATGTAGAAGCACTGCTGCTAGATCCACTCGCATCGCGGGCGACCAAACGATGCTTTAGCCGCGAATGTGTAGTCGATAACGAATCAGACCGCTGTTGTTTCATGACGGCTGGAATTGTGATTCCACCGGGAGAGGAAAGAGGCGTTGAACGGAAGCTGTCAGCCCGTGGAGTTATTGTGATAGGCACAGGCCCAAACACGCTAGGAATTTTCACAGCCTGAAGTGCGGCATCGGGTTGGCTAGGTGGCGGCAGAGGGCTAGTGAAGGCCGAAGGGGTAATGGGAGGGGGGCCTGCCGAACGGAATAGTGCCAGGGTGATGCTATCACCACCGGCTGGAATGATCGCCTTGGATCTTGCGGATGGAGGGCGTGACCCCGATTTATTCGGTGTTACAGTGCGTGGACGTTCCGTGCCATCCGGTCCGGTATTGCGCAGGAAGTCCGCTAATTCTGCAGTCTGTGTCTGGGAGCGTGGGGATCCCTAAATCAAGAGTTATGAGCGACCCTAAATCTCACGCAATCATGCAAGCCGTACCTCTATTCTCCTGATCGGGTCAGGGGTGATTGTGCAGCGAATTGGATCACGACGAGAAATCAATTCCTCAAAGCTACGCTCTCTCTCATCCATATCTGCCAACCTCGCCGACTGCGACGTACTAGAACCAGAGGAATATATTGGGCGCTGGGCCTTGCTAAAGCTTGAGGAGCGACGAGACTTGTCTGGCGTTGTCGGAGGTGTCCACACCCGCACCCCATTTGCGCGTTCAGATGATATCGAGATACCGCTGCTGGAAGAAGGCTTGACCAGGGTAAGTTGGCCAATCTTTCTATCCGAGAGTTGAGAGTATTGAGAATGCTTGCTGCTCGACGACCCCTTTTTAGAGTGCGAAGGATTTTCATTCCCAAGAGGAGCGGCCGGATGGATCGAGGCTTCTGTTCTAGAACCTTTCCGGCTAGTCACCACTAGCGTCTCGTCATCCGGAATGACAACGCCATCTACTACCTCGGTCTGATCGTCCGCCACAGGTGCAGTTGAGAGGCGCCTCGCTGCCTTCTGGGGAACCGGAGGAGGTTGATCTTCTGTAGATTGCGGAGTTTCGACAATTCCGGCGGGGTGCGCTGACTCAACGTCCGAAGGAAGAGCAGCAGCGTGAGTTACCGGGCTAGCCGGAGCCTTTCCCACCTCATCCTCCTGATGCGGCGTTTCCTCTACCTCATCATAACGAGCTCGCCAGGGAGACAAAGATGCTGACGGTGCCACAAGGACATCTGATGTGTGGGCAACCCCAATTTTACCACTAAGATCCTCGTCACATCCGGATACTAAGACAACATTTTCGGTGATTTCAAGTGACTCGGTTTCAATAGTTCCACCTTTCGAGAAGTGACGCTCAGGCGGTGCCACCCCCACGATCACGAAACCTGAATCCTCGTTAACGATGGAGCGGTCCGATCGTTCACACGTTTCGACCGCGGACTCCAATTCCTTGCCCGATTCAGCAGGGCAGTCCTGCTGCTTCTCCGCTGGTGTGCGGGGGGCTCGGTCGGCCTCTGCCACCTCGCCCGTCTCCACTTCACTTTTGGCTATCACGGTGTTGTCTGAATCTGTCCTTTCTTTCTCATCTTCAACGACCGGGTCGGGGAAATCCCCACGAGTAAGATCCGGCAGTGAGGAAGGTCGCTTAATGCCAGGCGAGCGAGTAACAAAGGGCGACTCCGTAGTCCGGGGCAAAAGGATCAAGCTTTGCGGACGGCGTTTTTCCAATTTATCCGCGATTTCCAATTCCTTAGACACGTTAGCATAGAACACACCAGGGACCGATGGCACGAGACCAGAACCCTTCCTTTTCCCCCGCACTTGGGGAAGAAAAATGCCACACCTACCATTAGCTCATCAACACTCATCGGTTCAACTTTGTGGCTTTCGGGCCCCTCGGCATCTCCATCGGCTGGAGGGGCGGCTTCGACGATCGGAGATAACAATGCTTCCTTGTTAGCCTCAAGGGCAGCAGCATCGTCCCCTATCTCTGGTTCTTTGTCCATTGCTACCACAGGCGCCTCATCCCCTTCAAATGTGCTCTTGGTCGCAGAGGATTCACCCCTCAGAATGTTTCCCGTCGTGAGACTGCTCGCACTCGTCCGGCTGGAGGTACTAGCTCGTCTCTCATGGCGTTGTAGGGAGGGAATAGAGAACGAACTCCTTCCCCGCACTCGCTTGCGCCATTGTCGCCATAGTCGGCTGAGCGACGGGTTCAGGGCCACCTTCTCCGTATCCAACTCCTCAACAATTGGCCTCTCAGTAGTGTCAGTGTTGGTCGGTTCTCCGGCCTCATTGATAGGTAGTTTCTGAGCAAAGCGGTTGATGGCTGCATGGCCAGCAACGAGCAGTGTTTGCTCGCCCACAAACTCCAAAACAGAGGTGAGCCAGATTGCCACGGCCGGCGAAACAATGCCGGGCATAGCACTGTGAGCATTGTATTGCTGAGCTCCGACCGACCCCTCAAGACCAGCTCCAGAATGGACGGCCTCATCCTCCTCCTCCAAATCTCCCAGAGACGAGTAAACCATGCACCGCAACCTGGTCTTCTTCCATGTCCCCTCCAGATCCCATGTTCCGGTCGTTTCCTGCGGTTCGTCGAAATATTCATCGTCCTCCTCATTCCCTCCTCCAAGATAGGAGGTCAGCTCCTGATCAGCGCCAGAAATAGCTTCATTTGCAAGTCGACAACGAAGAACCTCCTCAACCGCTGGCCTCAAGAGCCTGAGTGAGGTTGATCTGGCGGAGGAAAGGAACTCGTAGAGGAGAAAGTCAAGAAATTGGTTGATGAGCTTCAATGAGGGTGCCGTAACGAGAATGGTAGGAGATCCAGGACCAAGTATTCCCTCGTCCTGTAGAAAACTCTCATGATTACTTGTCACAATCCCTGTGGCGGCGGATGCGGCAATATAAGCCGATTCCGGAGTAACTGAAGCGAGCGGATAGCCCATCGAGATGATAGAAGATCCGTAGGAGCTTAGGGGGTTATCTATTGATCCATTACTCTGACTTCTTTTGTGGGCGAGAGAAGTTTGTTGTTGATGATGTGGCTGCCGCTGCAAGTCGAGGGAGTCCGGTCGAGTAGGTCTATTCATTTTTTTTTCCTTGTGTGTATCACACTCGAGATTAATATGCAGCAGCCGGTAAAAGCAAGTGGCAAGATACGGGAGTAACAACAGCTCTCAACTCGAACCGATCCGCTTGTCCCCGACAAACTTTGTGACAAGCCCGGTGGCTGGCTAGAAATTAAATTAAAAAAAAAAAAAAGGAGTGAAGGACAAAAAATTAAGTATCGGCAAAAGCAGGCAATTCTCCCCAAGCAGCAATGTGAAGAGCGGCTACCAACACGGTTATCATCAACGGGACCACTATTAGTGACTTGTTTTCCCCTGCTGTGATTTGCTTTGCTGCGAAGCTTCTTGGGAGAAGGGAGGAAGAAAGCAGGAGGGACGAGATGAAATGGTGGGCAGCAGCAGCAAGCGCAGCAGCAGCAGCAGCGGCGGCGTGTGGTGGAAAGGAACGGTAGTTTTCTCCTCTTTCCGTCGTCGTTCCCGGTCAGAGATCGAATGGGCGAGCGTGGGGCTGTCACGGCTTATAAGAAGCGGTTTCCCGATTGCAGAGCGAAATAAAATGATTAATTGCCCCAGTGGAAGAAGTGGATTCCTATTCGGAGAAGTAATAGGGGACTCCTTTAGGGAAGGAGGGACGCAAAGAGAGAAGGGAAAACCGAAAGAAAAAAAAAGAAGGGTGCACCCGTTGTTCTTTCAGAAGGGAGGGGGGGGAGGGGAGAGAAGGGAGGATGGGTGTGTTCAAGAGGATCAAGACGAAAGCCTTGTTATTAACTCGTACAAGACTGATCAATTATCAAAGACAGTAAGGTACGTTGTTGTACGGCCTTCGGAAGGGGGTTTGTGGGTGGGGAGAATGGCGCACTGGGCAGACTTCTCCTCGAGGGAGGGAAGAAGGAGAAGGGGAGCGGATACCGATAGCAGCACAGTATCGGCACGGCACAGGGCACTCGTACTGTAAATGCCCAAGCGCAATCCGTAAATGAAGCCGGGCAAATAGAGAGAGAAGAGGGTATATTTCCGGTGCAATGAGGCTGATCAAGGCTGGTATGAAGACCGCAGTTCGCGATGCCAAAAACCGGGGGAGTCTCTTGCAAACCGAGACGAACAGTGGACGGGGGTGCAAGAAAGCTGACAGTGGAGAAAAAAGCAAACGAGTCCGGGCTGGAAGCTCAGATTTCGTGTACCAGCATGATACAATACAAACTAAACATCATGCCTCTGTTTGCCCTCTCCCCCATTCATAACTAGTGCACCACATTCCCCACCATATGATATTCGCATTCGATCACGATCATAAGCTACCAGTACGGCTCCCTCTCTCCTCTTTTGTCACTCGAAGGCAATGAAGCGGCAACAATACGGCACCCCCCAGATACCCGCACCGTAGATGTCCATCTCCCCAAGCCGTCCACGCAAGGATATTATTGCTGGGCACAGGAACTGACCTCCATCACACAGATTGTACGCCAAGATGAATCGGTGGCGGGGGGGGGGATCCTTCTGAAGGGGTGTGATATGACAGGACATATCTGCTTGCCTCCTGCGACGCGTCTCAATACAGGCAGGCTGTAGCTACCGGTCCATGACTTGGCCAAGGTGTGTGTAACCATCAAACAAAAACTCTGATGAGAAGAAACCGCCCTCTACCCGCCACAGGAATCCCCTGAATCACTCACTGTATTCTTTTTCCCTGCACTTTGCCCTACCTCTCAGCACCCATGTAGTAGTGCCTCAGTAACAGCTGCTTGCCAGGAGTCATTCCTTGAAAGTCCTGAGAACTCACCAGATGAATGCCGTGCGTATTCCATTAGAAGGTGATCGACACAAAGAATGCTGGCTGCCTGCAGCATCTTACAGTGATCATACAGATTCATACGGCACTTGCACTATCAGCAACACACTGGCCCACTATATCATACCAGCATTAGTACGGTACTCGTACAGTTTTTCGTAGTGCTCATAGCCTCAGGGACAGTCTGCTCGAGTAGTTGCTGCACCGCAGGCTACTGGAAAAGCATGGTACTGTGCTTGTACTCGTACGGTACCGGTACGGTGCGGTGTTACTGTACGGTATTTGTGTCCTCCCACAATGGTACTGGTACTCCCCTCTTCTTCCCTCATCCCCACATGTCGGTTTTACCCCATTGTTGAAATTCTCGTCCCTTCCGCGCGGCTGGGAGGGAGGAGAAACTGAGAAAAGGGAAAAAAGGTAAGGAAAAGGGAAAAAAGAAAAAGGAAAAAAGAAAAAAGAAAAAAAAAGGAAAAAAAAGGAAAAGAAAGGAAAGAAAAGGGAACCAAAAAGAAGCACCAAAGAAGCAAAGGTGCAGGGCTTGGGGAATCAGAATCCCTGTATGTGCCAATCCCTGTCCAGACTTTCGGTACTTCCTACTGGCCCTGTGCTCAGATGCACGCTTAATCTCTGGTCTCTCTCGACTTGCAGAAGTGGTGATGTTTTATCAAAGTTCGAGGTTCCCACATCTCGATGGACGGCACCGCCGTCCCACCATAAAACCTCGACATCGGATTCTTCATTTCTCATGGCTCATGAGTATCCGTACCATTAACCGTATCGCATTTATTTATTTTCTTCTACGGTACCGGTACATATCTCTCTCCCCCTTCCCTCCCCTTCCCTCCTCCCCTTTCCCTCCTGGGCTCCCGACGGGATCCGAAACGCGTCCTCCCGAGCACCTGGCTGGAAATTCCAACTCTATCGTGAGTTGCTCATGTGGATAACTCTTTTTTTTTCTTTTCTTTCGCTCTGGGTTCCTAGATTTCTCCTTGCGCATGCCAGTCTACCAGGTACCCATGATTGATTGCGCGAAGATGCTTGTTGCGCTGGATGCGAAAAAAGGGGCTCTCCAACCCAGCCCGACGGCAACGCGGGCCAAACACATCACAACCACAAACTTCATGTACCGTACTGTACGGTAATCTGTCGGATCCCCTCCCCTGTCACCTTTTGCGCCTTTTACCTTCGCAATTCGTAACTTCTTTGTGTTCTGAAGCCATCCGTCCATTCTGTGTCGGTAATTCATCTCTTCAGCCCAGCTCAAAGCTGATCTCAGGATCATTCCCCGCTGGTCCTTGTACGAGTACCGTAGGTAAAGTAATGAGTCTTCCCCGTCGCCCGCCTGGTGGCTGCGCCAATCGGGTAGTGCTTCCAATCTTCTCAACTAACCCTGTTCAGTCATCGACAACCGAAAATCCACCAAGCGGCCTGAACCACTCAAAACGCTCAGATACCGCCCGAGCAGCAATTCACCCAACTCAGGTTCCGCAAGTGCGGTACTGAACGGTACTCGAGCACCAAGTTAGTAATCGAGTACCGTACTTCTATGATAATACGGTACGGTACTCGTGCAAATAATTGCCATCAGGAAAGAATCCGGACTCGTTCCCGATTTTCCCGACTCAGCGTGACCCGCACATTGGACGCGTACTTTCCACAAACATGGGCTGGCGTGTTTTGACTTTTTCTACTATCCACTGTACGACCCCCTCTTATGATATCGTACTAGCCTTTGACCTCCTCTTCCAATCTCCTAAACAATCCTTGCCACCCTAAAAACTGGGGTAATCCGGAATCGCGCCGGGATGTCCAGAATTTCCCCCACTGGATTAAGGGGAGAGAGCAGAGGGAAAAGATACCGTACTCACTCGGCCCTCTGTCGGGACAGATAAAAAGCAAGCCCCAAAGACCTACTTGTAACCAGGAGAGCCCCACAAACCTAACCAGGGGAGGCAACTCCAATGTCCTAGCGCGACTCTCAGTTGTTCCGGTTCTCACGGTATTCCCTACTGTACCGTACGAGTACCGTACGGTAGCTTGCAAGAAGTACAAGTACTCGGGGGTGGCCATAAATCGGGGGCACTTCCAAAACGGACAGGGTATTTATATACAAGCTATAACCAACGTGGAAATATGAGTGATATTCAGTGATCGGAATTGGTGATGGACAAAAGTCTGGCGCTTTTTTTTTCTTTCTTTTTCCAGTTTCAATTCTATTTACAATCTAGTATGCAGTAGCCCCCCCTTCAGCATCAATTACTGCTTGTAACCGGTGTGGCATACTATGAATTAAATCCTCTAGCCGTTGCTGAGGAATCCCATGCCAAACAGTATTTAATGCCGCTTCCAAGGTTGGAATATCACCAATCCGACCCCAAGTTTCCCCCAATTCCATCTCCATTTCCAACCATAAAGCTTCAATGAGATTTAAATCAGGTGATTGGGTAGGCCATAGTATCCGCTCAATCCTATTGAGCAGCCGGTATTCATTGGCAGTACCCTTGTGCCCTGGGGCGCCATCCTCTACAATTCCAGTCCAACCATAGAGCTCACAACACTGGTGCCAGAAGGGAACCAAGTGCGGTTCCATAACTGTTTGAACGTAGAGGACAGAGTCCATCTTAGCCTTCCCTGGAACAAACACAAGATTTGACTTTGTGATTCCACAAAATGCCCCCCAAATCATCTTCAATTGGCGTCCAGATTCGTACGTGTTGTCGATGCAATCTTCGTGATACTTCTCCGATGCCTTACGAGTAACCCAAGGACGACATCCAAAACCCGCCGTCGAGAAGGTCGACTCATCCGTCCAAAGAACTCTCAGCCAGTCATCATAGGTCCAATTTAACCGCTCCTGGCACCAAGCAACTCGGATAGGCCGATTGTAGGGCCTGATTACAAACTTTTGACGTGGGATACGGCAATGGTACCCCATCGAATGCATCACTCTTTTAACAGTACGGGGACTGCATGCGTAGTTCATTTCAATGCATATCGCGTCCCAGCTTAAACGTCGCATTCGAGCATCACGTGTAACAAATGCTTCCAAGCGCTGCTTTTCTTTATCGTCAAAGATTGGTGGCCGGCCTGTCCGTTTCCGATTTGATGGCGTGCCTGCCTCTTGTGCTTGTTGGTATATCTTTTCTCAGTGGTCAGCTGTATTCAACTTTTAAGATATTATGATTTCAGTTTTACCTTCTGACATGTTCGTCTGTCAATATTTAAATGCTTTCCAATCTTTGTCCAACCCCATCCTGCCTCATCTCGAAGAGTTATCACCTTGATACGCTCATCACGGGTTGTTTCTCAGTGTTGGACTCCATTGGGGGGCTGTTCACGTATACCTTTCTGCTTCATGGTCACGATCTTGGTATTGCCAGGTGATATGTTGTGTCTATGGTTTGGATATATGGCAGTTCGGCTGACAACCTGGCAAATAGGGGGTACAGACAGGATTAGGGAAGGGGGGGTGCTTGGGCCGCCACGCTGGAAATACCCTTACACCCGAGTACAGTACCGGTAGCCGAAAACAGGGGCCATGAATTTGTATGGGCGCTCAGACATGCACGGATTTTTTTGCCATAAACAGGTACAGTGGTGGGTGCCCAGCTACCGGTACAGTAGGTAATCCAGGTCAGGTTTTGGCATGAAGAAATCTGAGGCTCACAGAGGTTCACACTGGGCAGGGAGAGATCCGGATCATCGAGATCCGGAATAGTAGGGTGAGACTTTGCGAGCAAAAGCCTCTCGACCCCAGACATAGTGGGGTAAGCTCTCTTGCATTAAGGTACCATACGGTATTCGAGTACGGTACTCGGAAAGTACTGTAGAGTACTATCTCCCCCCAAGCTATCGGAACTGTCCAGCTCTCCGTCCCATCCAAGGCCCCGGCCCAGAATTACAGTGCTGCATGGTACACCACCTCCAGTGAGAATCTCTGAAACCCATCATCAGATAATCAGCGGAAATAAATGTGTCAGCCCGCGATAGGTTCAGTTTGACAGGTCAACAGAATCGCGAAAACGAGTTGATGAGATTCAACGTGTCCGGTAAGCTGATCACATACCGTGTTCGGAAAATGCGGATCCCTCTTCGGTGCTCTTGTCCCTGGATCCGGAGATTGCAGGGATGGCTGAGATACGGGAATGGACCTCAAGAGCTTTTGCGGTAAGGAACGGGAACGTTTAATGAATTGGAATACTACCGGCAGTGTCGTACAAGTACAGTACCGGTACTCGAGTACTCGTAGAAGAAATCTTCAAAAACCGCAACTTACTGGTACGGTACGGTACCGTACTCGTGTCTCTGCGCTGACAGTGTTCGAAAAAACTTTGGTTCACGGTACCGGTACGAGTATCCCGCGAGAGTGATGTCATATTGGGCAGCGACCCTACTGTACCGTAGTGTACTCGAGTGCATTATTGATGGCGGTGGGGAGACAAACTAGTTGTGCAAGGGGCCTTATGCACTGATTGAGCGGGAGCAGATGCTTCGATTGTCCCAGGAGCCGTGGAGGCGATGATGCGTTTAATGCCTAATACGGTAGAGGTATTCAGTCACAGGATTGAAAAGAAAAAAAATTCCATCAAGGTTCAGGATTGCTATTTGCACCTTACACTGTTCAAAAAAAAACTATTTTTTATGGGCCAGGGGTCGCTATCCCAGGTTGGGTACAGTACCGATACTTGGCGCATAGTCACGAGTGGTCAATGGAATACTGTACGAATAGACTGGGAGATTACTCACCGTACTCGTACCGTGCTAAAATCACCTCTCAAAAGTATTGTCCCACCTTCTAAAACCCAACCAAAAAGTGCATAAACACGGGCAATTAACTAGCCCATATCTACGAGTATATATTAGGGTATCCTGAAAAAATACAAAAAAATTATACCAGTTTCTTTTCACAAGGCCAACACTATTATGTAATAAAAATAGTAAAACTTTTGTGTTTGGATGAGCTGCACCTGGGTTTACATAGGCATACTCGTGCCAAGGTTGCAGCTAGGGCGCTGCAACCCCCAAAAATTCGCTGGCTCAGTTTTTGGTGGCACTCATCCTGAGTGCCCGACAGCTCAATGTCACTGGACAGCTCAATGGTATTTTTGTGGCTCAACGTCACTTTTGTGGCTCAATACTATTATTGTAGCTCAACACCATTATTTCACTCTACATTATTCAGAGTACTTAAATATAACCTGTTACTTAATAGAAATATTTAATTCAAAATCTCTTGAAAGTAAAATATAAAATAACTTTTATTATAATATGATTATAGATAGTATACAGGTATTACATCTAGTATACATTAATTTTTTTTAGTTGCACCTGCCGCTTAATCCCTGCCACTATCATTTTTGATATTTTTTTTTTATATTTTTTAATTCTCTCTCTTTGTTTCATATATGCCTTAAACTCATTCAATAGTGGCTTACGAGCTGCTTTTTCAGCTCTGTCTCTTGCATTTTGGGCCCTTCTCAGCTATTGCTCAGCCTTTTCAACCTCTAACTCCTCCTTCCTCCTGATCATTTGACGAGCCTCAGAGGCATAGAGAACACCTCCTTTCTGTACCTGCCGGCGACTTTGTGCTCTCCGTCTAGCATTTCTTGCTTCCTCCGCTGCCTTGGTATTTTCCATATGCTCAAGTGCTAATGCACCAGTTTGAGCTTGTACTAGTCCCCCATCCAATACCAACTTCAATCGTTTTTGAAAGGTTGGTGATAATTCAGCTGCCTCTTGTTGCAACTGCTCAGCCTGTCGTTTGAGGGATGAAATCGTAAGCGGAATATTGTCTTGTGTGTTGGATTCGGTAGTTGTTGGTTGAGGTGAGGGAGGGCGGACAGGAGTTTCTCGTAACTTGGAGATTACTCGGTCAGGGTTGTAGGGGATGAGTCCAGTCGCTCGAAAGGCAGAACGAATTGTGGATGCCTTAAAGGTTTGCTGCCTGATTGAGTGAATTTGGTCTAAAAATTCACACTTGTCAAAGTCACCACAGCCAGTTCTGGTAGCGGCTTCCACAGCCTCAGCATGATAATGCTTGTATGGCTGGAATACAACCACATCCAAAGGTTGTAAAAGGTGACTAGTATGTGCTGGTAGACAAAGAACAATGATCTTATGAAGATCACAGTATTCGAGAAACTGTCGAGTACAGTGTGAACCAAAACCATCCAGAATTAGAAGCCTGTAGATTCCAGCCTGGAGTTTAGCTGAAAACTTTTCAAAGTGTTCTAGCTACTTGATCATTAACTCATTATTAGTATAACCAGTTTCCGAGGTTCCTAAGAGGTAGTCATCTGGTATTGAGGTAGGTGTATGTCACAAACTGTGACTAAGCATGGCAGATTTCACATAGCTCGGATTTCCGAGTTATAGGTATGTTGGGATTTCACATGATGCACACTAGTGCGCCATAGGTTATTATGTTTACTTGTTCGTGACTCACAGTTGTGAGTCACACGATGTTATGATTTTCGCACATGACTCACATTTATGAGTCATGGGTTTCACTCAGATGATGCGAGTTGCGCACTTGACTTGGTTATTATGGTTTTGATTGGCTTAGGCATGTTGCGCAGCGACTAATAGGAGTCGGCTGATGGATTTCGCATGACTCAGAGTTATGAGTCACAAGGTTTGCGTGATGCATAGGTATGAGTCACGCCAGGTGAAGAGCTACTATATAAAAGGGTCACTAGGACCCCTAGTATTAGCTCTTCACATGTTCTCCTAGTTTATTTCCTACCTTTGAGTTATTATCAATAAAACCTACCTTTACGCTCCTT